ATGTACAATATGTAAGTTTTCGCCACTAGAGGTCGCATTTTCAAAACAATAACAAAGGCGAAGTTTGATAACGCTATGAAGGAGGATGTTCACAGATGAGGTAATTTTTTTATTACCTGTACCTTCCATAGTTATACAAACAGCGAATAAATTATACAGAGAATGCAAGCAAAGAACATTTACATGGTTATAATGCGCAACACTATAAAAACGCATAAAAAATCATGGCGCAATGCTGCGGTCAACACTTTTCATTTAATTTGCATTTTATTCGCGACAGCCATAATGGATTTAGTTTAACTGTACAGCAGCATTTGTGTCTGTGTGTTGCCATAGTTTCTACAAGCGGAAACTGAGGATATGCAGATATTACATCATTGATCGGTGACAATGACCAGGGACGAGTCATTATTTATAATTGGAATTTCTCTGGATTTACAAATCCTTGGGAACTTTTTGAATAACATAAATACACAACTGCATAAAATATATAACACTGTGCAAGTAGTTTTTGGATATTTAATATGAAAATCTTACATATTGTACCTTTACGAGTCCACCCCAAAGTCTCTATAAATGTGTTTTTGAATACTTTTGCTCTATTCTACACTATTTTGTAGTATAACTAGTGCAAGTATGGAGTACCCAAATGATGTAGTTCTTCAAATGCAAAAACAAAGTGTTATATATTCCACACTTTATGCACTATATGAACAGTTTGAGGTTTATAGGCCTAATATACGGATGGATAGATGGATAGACAAATGGACGGATGGAAAGAAAGACGGATAATTACACAGATACATGGATGGATGGATGGATGAATGATGGACGCATAACAAATGGATGGATGGATGGATGGATGGATAGATAGACAGGATGGATAGAAGAATGAATAGACAGGTAATTACTCAGATCGATGGATAGATTGATTCATAGATAAATGCATGGAAGGAAAGAAAGAAAGAAAGAAAGAAAGCCCATTCTTTAAATTCTGAATTGTGCACTAACCATGTTGACAGTATGTTCCACAGTAATGATTATTATGTGTACACAGGAGAAATAAACTCACCTTGCAGTCACACCCCATCTGATAGCGCTGACTGAGGCTCTTCTTCTGGGTGGCACTCATGGATTCCCAGGGCATGATGAGATCACACAGAGTCACGTGCATCTTGCCGTTGGCCTCCGCCTTGCCTGGAAACACAATGTGCAGACAAAACAATCTGAACCGTCTGCGAACATCTGATAGTCACAGACACAACGAGGCCCAACAGACAAAATAACAGCACGAGAACACAATAACAAGTCGCCACGTTTATAAACCGAACCCTTCTTTTAGTCATCTATTGTTCTGTATCATGACTGAACCACGTTATGGAGGTCACTGGAGAGTCAAAGTGCAGATTTGGTGAAAAACGCTACATGCAAAAGCTTGAACCCTGATGGTGGAGAATAGGAGTAGCTAACCACAATTTGGGACTTCACAAAATGGGAGGGAACATACAAATACAATGACATAAACAACCTCAAGATGGTTTCTATTTTTGCCCAAAGCGAAGGTTTCTGAAGATCTGCTCTGGTTACAATCTGAAACCTGGGTAGTGTCTACTCAGTGTGGAGAAGGGAATGTGTGCCTTGAAAACACAACCTCAGCAGTTACTCTGCACTACAGGATCAGCTCTCTCATTATTTGACCTCCCCTCCTCCTCTAAAACTTCAGCTTTAAAGGCAATTGCTACCCTCCACAGACCTCTGCCTTGTCAACTCTGTAATTTGGGCTCTGCTGGAATTATCTGAGATGGGGAAACCAGAAGTTGTCTGTGTTCATCTTTTGACGTTCTTTTATATTCTGTGTTTTTTCCCTTCAGAGTTGCCTGCTCAGCAAGTTCATTAGAGAGAAGAGAAGAGTACTGAAACCCAGCTGTAAATTCAGCACATTGTACATCAATAAGTCACGGTTCGTAAACTTCTGTCCTGTCTGAAAACGGATCGCCTTGAGTGAAGCATGAGCCAACTGGCAAGTGCTTTGCTGTGAAGGCAGTAACCAATAGCATTGTGTGGTTAGACTGTACATTTATTTGACCAAAAACAACAGCTGCAGAGAAATGACAATTTTTTTTTTACCTGAGATGAGGTACTCCTTCTTGCCGTTAGTGTCCAAATTCGTCACCCCACACACTGCAGATGTGGGCGCGGTGAAGATCACGTCGATGTGGCGATCCGGGCCTTTGAACATCTGAGAGAGGAAAACAAAATCTCTTGTTTTATTCAATGCAAGACATTTTCATTATAGGTTAGATCTGAATAACAGCTGTCATCTTCATCCCTCACCTTGATCTGTTTAATCTCATATTGGATCCGCTTGATGGGGTTCCCATAAATATCATTCCCAGAATCCACTTCTTTTTTTCTGGATATTTAATTAATTTGAAGTTCACTCCAATATTATACATCATATATATATATATATATATATATAGATTAAATATACTTACAAAAATTATCAATGTATAAAATTTCATCTTAACACATTTATAAGAACACCCAGATAATGGGATTTTTGTGTATGTGTGGTTTCAGTTCTTCCTACTTTATTTATTTGTAAAATTCAGAATACATTTGAGTACAAAAAGATGTTGATATATCATGATTTGTTCATGATGATTTCATGCACAAAAAATTTGTTGCATACACAAGGTTAGTGAATGAGACCCAATATTTTCTTATTGTGAAATCCATTAAATGTGCAAACCAGAAGATTTTATTTAGACATTATATGGGGAGGGGACTTGCTTAAACTTGTATAAAAATGAATGGAATTAATTGTAACTTTTAATATAGCAGCAAAACCATTGCTATCAGATTTTATTCCTTATTTGCTATGTTATTTTTCCACAATTCCAAAGATTTCGGTTTTTCACTATGTGGAAAATAATGTGTTTTTTGAACCTTAAACCACATAAACACATTTCATTACACCAAATACACAAAATAATGTTCATTTTAGCAACATCATATGACCCCTTTAAGTAGATTGGAGACAGGAGCTGAACTTGCATGGGGCGTTTCCAAGATGGCCGCCGAGTGGACTGACTTGCCTTCTTGGGACTAAATGTGTAATTTCTGTTAGCGCAGCATTGCTGAAACGAAGCAGGGGATTTCCAATTCCCAGCACACCTTGCACAGGACTGAATGGGGTGAGTACAAGTTGTATTTAAGTGTTATTTGAATTGTTTTTAACAAGATGAGAAATAGGAGGTTTTATTGTTATTTTGGAATAGAGAAATGTTTCTGTTATGTTGGTGTTTTGGGTTATCATTGTGGTGAGCTTGAGCTTAGGTTGGTAAAAAACTGCATTTATCATGCTAACATGCACTGTTCTTAGCTATACTTTAACTGCAAGAGATTCAGTTGGGTTAGTTTGACATGTGTCATTTTATTGTTTTACTCAATTCAGTTATGTTTCCAGTGCAGTTTCAGTTTACAGTTTAATTCAATGTTGAGAAAACCCATATCCAAAGTTTAAAAACCACTGTCAACAACTAAATTAAGTTCAGCCAAAGAATCATTTTTTCTAAGTGTGTGTAATCTTCTCAATGTTTTTCCACCACTACTTGGACTCAGTAAAATATACAAGCTACAGCACAAGGGCTGTAGAGATTCTGTCACGTCATCATAAAAAGATGAAAAGGCACATGACTCTTGTACTGTACTTTCTCCATGCCACCTCTCATCTGAGGCCTTGTCTAAACACCAGCGAGAGGTCTCTCTCATTTAAAGAGAGTCATGCTCCCAAACCCAAATCCCATTTCCTGCAAGTTGAGTGTTTGCAGCTGTCCAGCATTTCTTTAACTCTCTTTGTCAGGTCAGCCAACATGCGGCAGACACGCCTCCTCTAGAGAAGCTAACACATGACAACCTTGCACTGACTCATTCATTCTCTTGCCTTTTATACTCACCCTTATTTTCCTAAATCGTTTTTAAATGGCTGTTATTTTTTTCACTGAAGTACTGCACGGAAACATAGAATGGAACTTAAATGGATGAAAAGAAGCATCTCTATCATTCAATCTATCACCCTCCACAACCCTAAACTTCAGCCGTGTCGTCCTCATACAGTCAGCTTTACTTTAACAGAAGAGTAAACAGCTGCAAACCTTCTAATATAAACTGTGTATCACATTTATACAAACTCTGCTGCTTAAACTAGCAGAGCAGAACTTAAACAATGATTTCATGCTTTATTGTTAGTCTGTTAAGCAGAATAAATTGTATATGTTATTGACTGGTGAGGGGAAAAAGCTGGATGGGAAGTTGAGCATCAGTCAAAGATCATGTGAGATTTCTGATTTTTGCATGTCCAAAACAACATTCGACCCCATCGACTTTTGGTATATTGACAAAAAACACAACATTTATCAAAATGTCTTCTTTTGTGTTCCACAAAAGGTCATACAGGTTTGAAACAATGTGAATGTAAGTTAATAACAGAATTTCATTTTGGGTGAACTATTCATTCCAGTCAGAAAAATGTAGAAGTGTCTTTACATTATATGTAAAGTACTATGTATGCAATCAACTGCCATTATTGCAAAATCACTGACAGGGTGATTAGGTCATTCTGAAGTGGTGTATTTTGCAATAATGACCAGATGAATATTCATTTTCCGACTTATTATATGGTTGCTTACTAAACAAGTAAACAAATGGACATGAGTAGATCAGTATAATAAAATGGTCACATGGTGGGACAATGATCAGTTATACAGTTTATACAAAAAATTTCACTGCAGAATGTTGTGATTGACCAATCAGGATCAAGTATTTCAGAGTTGTGTAATATAAACTATAAAACCAAGTGGCATTTATTTTTAAGAAATATAACACAAACAGACATTATAGAACATTCTATTCAAGCATTTAAGATGCTTTCTAGTTGTCAAATGCTAGTACAAATTATTGTATATTCATAATTTTATGTAAGTGTTGTGATATTCATAATTGCTGTAATGTGTTTTACAGGATATTGATCTAAATTCGAATAAATCAATCCATATATGAATCCCATTTCACTGTGCTGTGAAATGAAGTACTGCTTATGAGCTATCCCTATAAAATGGTGCTGTTGTTTACCTGTTGGTCTTGTCTACATTTGCCTAGTAAACCAGCGATGAAACAATTACAGGCTAATGTTGCCCTCAAAGCTAAACTTGTCTCAGTAAACGGGTGGATTGTGTCGCTGCTTGGCAAACTGTTTGCTTATTGTCCAGATATACACTGGAAGTCACACTTTTTGCAACATATTCACCCAAAAATAACCAGTCCTTCCCATGTCCACAGTGTACATAGACATTTGGTCACCTAAATTGAGGATCAGTGTCAATATGCAACATTTACTGTATTTGTGTTGGCAGTGCCTCTGGCAAGAACAAGAAAGGGGAACAGATATTTTAAGTTTCTGGGGTATTTCATGGGAATACCCACAAAGTGAAGCAACTTCACAACACCAATGACAGTTTTGCTGTCCTTTATTTAAGCATTGTCTACTGCAGTTGGTTTGTACAGTATATTAAATATAAGTGACCCAGTGCAGTTCCAAACTCATGCGTTTTGTAATGTAATTGTAACGATTCAGTCCACTGAAGGCGAGCGTAGTGAAGAACTAGTGCAGTTTATTCAAAACAAGGTGAAATCCAAACAACACATGACAAACCGGGAAATTAAACTAAGATCATGAATACAAAGCAAAAGACATGAACACCAACACAACCCAAAACAAACCCTGACAGTAATCTATATTTTCTTTTGTTTACAGCTTTCATGGATGAATGAGGGTATGACACACAACCTGTCCATGTTGGCTTCTGGCTAATTTGACCAGCTTCTACCAGCCCTGCTGGAAAGACCAGCTTAGACCAGTATGAATTGGCTGTTATGCAAGTTAGTGGAGGTTTGATGCTGGTCTATCTGGTTGACAAGCATAACTACACTGTTTACCATTAAAACTAACTGGTGAAGTCAGTCTTGTTGGCTAAGCTAGTTAAGAAGCATGATGAAACAAAATTCAATACAACATATGCTGAGCTTTTTTAGAAGTGACAGATGCCACTTCTTTTTTAAGACTTATGCATTTCAAAATGTCAAATTTCTATCAAACCGAATGAAGTCATATTTAATTGGTGTACACTACCGTTCAAAAGTTTGGGGTCAGGATTTTTTTTTTGGAAATAATTTTTTTTCTTTTATTTAGCATGGATGCATTAAATTGATCAAAAGGGACAGTAAAGACATAATAATAATTCATAATAATGAGAAATGTTTCTTGAGCAGCAAATCAGCATATTGGATTGATTTCTGTTTTAAATTCAGAATAAATGTGAACTTTAAAATTAAAATTCATTTGAGTATATAAACTATATTTTCAAAAAAAAAAACACTACAGCAACTACATTCACTTTGGCATAAACCCAAAACATTTTATACTTAGCAGAGTTAAGCATATTTAAATAAATCCAATTGTTAAATTTTTTATACATTTTCCATTTTGCACAGAATTGTTTTTGAGCGATTTCAGGAAGGTTGATTGAACGTATGGCCCATCAGCAACAAGATACAGTAACAAGTAAGCATTTCACCCTTTTAAAAGAGAATGCCTTTTTCTGCATAACATATGCGAGTCACCAACCCATTTTTGAGCAAATGACATTCCTACTCCTGATCAGTGATTGGAAATACACCCAAAGAGAGCTTATGAGTGTCTGAAAGCTGTCCCATCGACTGAACCCAGAAAAAAACAAAAACAGCTCTAAAAAAAAAAGGTGAAGATTTACTTTCATGTTAATCAAATGCAGATGAAAATGAATCAAGACAACTTCTCAAGTAGGCCTTCATCAGCAGCAGCTGTCTTGTAAATCCGGCTTCCAATTACAGCTGCTGAAGTTACGGCCTACCCACACCTCTTCTGTTTGAGTCAGAAAAACATACTCAGAAAACTGACCTGAGGTCAGTCTGAAGAGGTCTGAAACATTATTAACATATTAGCCGGGCTGCTTCTCCTTTTCCCCACCCCGTCCTTTCATAAATAGGCAGTCTTTCTGTATATGCTTTGCCAGCTGTTTGGATCGGCTGTGTATTTTGTTAGGACAGCTTGTTTTAATCGAGGTATGCTCAGGAACATTTCTGCAAAACTACTTAAGCAAACGCTGCAATGAAATGGAGATACAAATGAAGCACAGTTTATGAGACAAACTAGATTTTTACAAGTTGAATTAGACTCGCTACTTAAACTCTCAGGGCTAATTGAGGTTAGTTCAAGGGATAGTTCACGCAAAATTGAAAATTCTGTCATAATTTCCTCATCTCATTACAAAACGTTGTCTTTATTTCTTTTCGTGGAACATGAAAGGAAACATTTGGAAGGATGTTACCTTTATGTCTCTTTCATATAATGAAAGTGAATGGGGACCAGGGGCTGTCAAGCTCCAAAAAAGCATGATAAAAGCATCATAAACTGAAAATATTGCTTGACCGCAGTGGTCACCATTTATTTTAATTGTATAGGAAAGAGTAGCTTGGATATTCAGCTATAAATATGTTCTTTTGTGCTCCACGGAAAATCAAATGTGTTTCAAAAGACATGAGGGTGAGTAAATGACGACAGAACTATTCCTTGAAATGTGAGGATGAAAAATAGATGAATGATATCACAGGAGAGTCAGAGATAGAAATGGAAAAACAAAGTGTAAAGTTTGCAGTTTTTGAGGCACTTGCTCACCATGGAAAATATGAGCCCGTGGATATAGGATGCAGGGACATAAAATAACTAGAAAAAGCGCACACTCACAGCCATTATTATACACCCATGGGTTCACTTTATGGGCTGGAAAAGACGCAAATATGAAGGCTTCATAGCTCTTAAAGTTAACGATAGCCCCCCTCCTCCTCCAGTCCAAGTTGCATGCTTTTCTGTGTATGTCAGGCCTTTCTGGGTCCTGAGCTATAGGGCATGATAACACTGTGCCAGAACTAAACATCAATATAGTCTTATTCTAAAACCAATTTATCGTGGTTCCAGTGTTAAAGTAGGTCAAGCTACAACACTAGTTGTTTTGCACCTAAAATTCCAGACGCTAGGCTAAAAAGGTTTTGAGGGCAAGGAGGCCTCGCTTCTCCTGGTGAAGTAATCAAGCAATTCTCAAACGGCTTCAGAGAGCATCCCGCAGTGAGGAGCAGTGGCTACTGCCTGACTCCGCAGACGTCACTCATTAGTTTGAGAGAGCGTTCTGTTACCAACATCATGCAACTTAAGAGTAAAACCCAGTGATGTGGCTAATTTAAAAAGACGGATGACCCCATAGAAAGTCTGTAAGTTTTAGCTTAGATTGGATGGTACATTTTGCAGTAATTGACTACTGGCTGTTTAAGTGACACATGTGGAAGAGTCATGGTCAAGAACCTATTAAGGGAAAATTCTGTCATCATTTATTCATGCTTATGTTATTCAAAACTGTATGACTTTCTTCGTTCTACAGAACACAAAAGAAGATATTTTGGATTTTTTGTCCATTAAATGAAAGCCAGTGGCCAGTGTTGTTTTAAATCTCTTTGACTTTCAATGAATAGACATTCTTCAGAATATATTTTGTGTTGCACAGAAGAAATAAAGTCAAGTTTGGAACAACATTCAGCTACATATATAAATAAAACTTTTCATTAAATGCAATTTGACTCCACATTTCTAAAACTTTGCATTCTTTGCATTGTGACTATAATGTTTTTGCACATTAAAATATATATTTTTTATGATTTGTTTCCTGACATGTCCAGCTGCCCCCACCCCCAGATGTAACGCAACAGCTCCAACCTCATCTAAAACTTCTATGCTTGTCTAGGTCTTTCATATCAGGTCAGTCTGATGTTTTCATGCTGATAATTTTTAGCCAAGAAAAAAATGTATTGAGCGAACGGTCAGCACCAGCATAAACATACTAAATTTGATAATATAAAAATGTAAGGAAGCTTTCAGTGTGGGATCTTGATAGCTTTAGGGTCACAATATTTTTTCTTTTTTCTTTGAAATTTAATAATTAAAGCATCTGAGGGGTCATTATATCTAACAGTTCTGCAGTTCAAATGGAGTGATGTTCTGCAGTATCTGTCTTCAGCTTCATTCCCACTGCTTCATTTTTCCTGCCTGACCCACATTCCTATTGCCCGATAATCATGTATATCCCACAATGCCTGCTCCATCTACGGATGACTTACACACTCTCTTACATATGCACATATCATAATCAAAATGTCATAGTTTCCATGAAAATATACCCACCACAAATACTAGCCACATCCTGAGTTTCCGTATGCCTGCATAGCTTTTAGCAATCATGACCAGCGCAGAGCCCAGGCAGACCACTGCACCAAAAGTCCCCGAACTCCTCTTCCACTCCTACCTTCACAGACAGCACTCACTGACTTCACTGAGGGCCACCACAACCAAAATGTATTCCACCTCACAAGTATCAAATACAATATTATTTTTAGTGTTTCAGAGGCCATTTGGTTGTCTTTACCTTTTAAACATCATAAGGACAAACCTCAAAAGTTTTCCTAAAAATATGGAAAATTTGACTTAAGAATTTAATATCAAGGAACCAAATGCTTTAAACAGAATGCAGCAGTCATCTGCATTAATTGTTTTCCTGCATGATAACGTTCCTCCATGACAGAAATTTTAATAATTTAATAGAAATAATTGTAAGATTCTTACCAAGCATTATACATTACATGTATGAACTAAATATCCAATAAGATGGAAAATGTATGCTTTAAAAAAAATGTAAAAGTAAATAAATACGGAACAGCCACATGGCAAGTAATTGTGTAAATTAGCTCTCCTACACCACAGGGGTAAAAACTGAACAGGAAAATGGAGCTGTTTTGCTTCCACTCTGGATACTCTGCATGCGGTTTCTTTGAATTCATTTCTTTCTGTTTGAACTCCTGACACAATTCATCACTGTAATAGAGCACAACAGCCTGGTTACTGAAGTAAACTCCCTTTTTTTTCTCAGATTAACTGCCTTTTAACAATAATATATAAATGTTCCAGGAGCTCTGAGGTTTTAAGCAACAGCTTATGCTTCTCTAGAAGATTTTAGCTTTTTACTTGCATTTAAAAAAAAAAAGTAATTTAAATTCTACTGCTAAAAATCATGAAAAGAATTCTACCAATCAGAGTTTCTGTTAACAGAATTGTGGCATAAGAGCTCAGCACTGAAAATTATATAATTGTGTGCTTTCAAATTATTTATATATTTTCTGTATATTTTTATTGTTTTTATACTTTTAAAATCAATGACTATAAATCAATAGGTTCATATTGTACCATAATTTCTGATTCAATTTCTGATTACTTCATTCTCAGTGTTTGGTAATGCTTCGCACTGTAGATGGGACAAGTGTACACTGTAGTTGTTTAACACACTGACCAATGTTTTGTTTGGTATTTTAAAGACTCTCATTTCATGTTTCATACTGTAAAAATGAAAAGATGCAAAAAAGACAGAATTTGCTGGATTTATGCACATCATTGTCAATGCTTGCACAAGAAAGCCAGTGCAAATGTTCTAAGACTCTGAGGTTTACCAACATGGAAAAGGTCAGAGCTGGACAACTGACAGTTGGATGCTGCCCACTGCTTCAGGCCTGGGTATATAAACAGGCAGAGCGGACACAGCAGGATGTGGAGAAAGACTGGTTTGTGTGAGGTTTGCTGACTGCATTTAAATGCCATTCATTTCCCAGTTTTTATCAAAACACATGTGGGGAAAGATTTCACATTTGGATGTTTTTTGATG